GAATTTTCCGTTCTTTTGCCATTCTAATAGAGTCCCAGAGACATCAGAGAGTCAGTCCTGGGGTGATGAGCCTTTATCTGTGCCTCGATGTGGGCATTTCCATGCCCAGCTGTGGGAGCCACCCATGGCAGAGGCATTGTTAGCAGGAACTGAGGTGTGTTTATATGATCATCCTACCTGCCTAAGTAAAGAATGGATCCTGTCATTTGCCACTAGTGGATAGTAGTGAGGGCAATTATACTCCGAGAACTCATCAGGAGGAGAAACCCCAATGCTGGAGTGTCTCCCTCACAGGCGGAACATGGAGAACATAACACTGAGTCACTCAGATGTTACCCGATAAACACTTGACATCCGACTGCACAGCACTGAGGGTGAGCAGCAGGAAGCCTGGTCAGCAGTGTGGGTCCTGGGTCCTGGTGCTGGCTGGTGTGAGGGAAACATCTGTGGAGGTTTGAACCTATAACTCTGGAGGAGATACAGACATGAGCCTGGTTTCCCCATAAACACAGTTAATAAACATCACCACAGTGATGGTGACTGAAGTGGTATCATTTACTGTCGGAGACCAGCTCAAACTATCGAGGAGTCTGGAGGCAAGACAGGCCGGACCCTAAGGAGGGAAGGCATCTGCGAGCGGAGATTTCTAAAAAAGGGGGAAGAGGGAAAGGGGAAAGGGGAGCGAGGAAGACACGGGAGTCAGAGTTGGGTGCAAGTCTTCCTGCCCATCGTTTTGCAGGTCTTTATTTATACTGTTTAGCAAGATTTAGTTACAGTAATGCATCAGGTCTGTTAATAAGGAATCAGCATAAAATCTATAAAGGAAGAGGGGAGCAGTGCATCCTCCTCCTGCTACTTTATGGCACACTAGACTGTACAGCTTTGTGACAGCTGTCACGCACACGGATGTTTAGCTACGACTACAAAGGATCGGGCTCTGGGAAAGGATGGACTGTTAGCAAGGGATTTAGGAGTCCTAGGGAAGGAATCAATTGTGTAAGCAGAGTCGTCAGTGATATTGTAAAGAAAAGCTAGTGGCTAACTTAAGACCAGCAGAGAGTAGCCAGTGTTTCTTTTAGGAGCAGGTTAGGGGGGCGCAGGCCCCCAGAACTGAGGCCCATCAGACACCACAGAGGAGGGCAGAGCCAGGGCACCACCCGCCAGCAGGAAAGGCTCAAGGAATCATCGTCATTACAGCTGAAGTCACCGATAAAAACTGGAGAAGTGAAAGGAAAAGTCAGTAGAAGGAAGGAAATAAAAAATGATGGAAAAATGAAGGTAGCCCAGTTGAAAAGACTTTTCAAGTGAGAATGTAAGTAAAGCTGGTCATTGCAGAGGTAAATAGGTAGCCAAACTCTAGCCCATACTGGAAAAAATGGGAGAAAATGCTATGAATAGTCAGAAAAGAAGGAGACGTTCAAGGAGACGTTTAGCTCGTTGATGTGCCAGGATCCCATGGGAACCCTGGCTGTGGGCGCCAACAGGGTGGTGAAGCTGCAAGAAATGGACCAAATGTTGGAATCCACCGACTTCCCAAGACGAATCAGTAAGAAGTAGAATTTGTGAGCAGAACGGTTACCAGTGAGAGCACTGAGGCCGTCAGAGCCCTAAAACACAGAGCACA